CAACAAATATTTCGAAGAACCAAAAACCTGGACAGCAACACTTGGTTTCAAAACCCAACCAACCTGAAACAAACCTGCCCAACACAGACAGGCTCGCTCGAGCGAAGACTTGGTCGCTCGAGCGACCAGACACAGAGAAGCTACGCTCGAGCCAAGGAAGCCTTGCTCGAGCCAACAACCCAAAAGCTCGCTCGAGCGAAAGAAAACTCGATCGAGCGAAGAACTCAAACCCTCAGGTCTGTAACCAGACTCACGCTCGAGCGAAGGAACTATTGCTCGAGCGAAGAACGAACTAACTCGCTCGAGCGAAGAAAAGATCGCTCGAGCCAAGAATGCAAAGCTACAGGTCCAAACCAGACGCACACACTCTCGCTCGAGTGACCAAACCCCGGCTCGAGCGGAGAACCAAAAACAACAGCTCGCTCGAGCGACTAACTCCTCGCTCGAGCTAAAATCCAAAATTCTGGACAGCAACACTTGATTTCTAAACCCAACTAACCTAAAACAAACCTGCCCAACACATCCAATAACTTCAAATAAGAAAATATGGGACAACAACAACAATTATATAATGACAGAACCTACGGAACCTAAGTCCAGATACAATAATCAAATGGGAAAAGACCGGGGTCGCTATAAAAATTCTGGATGCCAAGCTTAACCGCTCGTGCAGCCCAACCCACCACTCAAGCGGCCCCTGTTCGCACTTGCGGCCTTGGGCCCCGCACGTGCGGTCCTGGCCTAGCAGCTCAAAATTCCAACTTCGCTCCCGGCAAACCGGAATCACCCGCGCACCCTACGGAACATTCGAAATTTAACAACAAACGAAAAGATGAACCAGAAAATCATTCCTGGACATTTCAAATCCAACGTGGATAAAAAGAAACGAAGCGAAAAGGAGAAAGAAAATGAGGAAAGGAACCGGTCGTCACATCTTTACCATTTGAGCCAAACCCAAATGAGTTTTAATTGAACAGAGTTCGAGCTACTTGGTATTTTACTGCCCATTTAAGTTTATAGAACTGAGTTCAAACAGAACTCAAAAAATCGGTGAATTTCAAAATGTGTTAAATTTTAAGTTATTTAAATAATAAGTAATTCTTGAATTGTTTTTTGTTGAGCCGAATATAAATCGAGTTCAAATAATTTGATTTGCTTTACCATCTTAACTTAAATAGATACGCCAGGAAAATGAATGTTAAATTAAATAAAAAATTATCAAGGCACTGTGGTGAATTTTTAAAATAAAATTTTCTTCTTTTTCACGGGTCTAATACTTAGATCTACAACATAAGTTGCCTTATCTAAAAAATAACTAACAAGATTGTGGAACACAAATTATTAAAGGCAAATAGAAAAATAATTATGAAAGATGGAAAACAATATGAAAAGTTGATGACAAAAAGGAGCTTAGTTAGTAATTAAGCAATACAATAAATATTACAAAAGAATATGGCGATATGCAAATATCAATTTGCTTGTCTATGGCTTTTCATTTCCGCTCATACATGATTAAAGCATGCATTTGGAAATTGTTGCAATTATCAATTGTTGCTTATCCACAATTTTGTAACAGTCACTACTTACATGTGTTGTAAATTACTCTGCAGGTTGCTTTCCCCGTCTTGGAGGATTTGAAAATTAGGGAATTGCCTAACATAATAAAGATATGGGACAAGCAATTACTCATAGCCTCAGAAGAAGAATCAAAGTCCTTTTGCCAACTGAAAGATATGAGGGTTTCTAATTGTGAGAAATTGGTACATGTGGTCCAGTTCAATATGCTCTCACGACTGCAAAATCTGGAAACATTCAACGTAGATGATTGTCCAAAGATGGAAGCGATAGTCTCGCAGAAAGGAAAAGAAGAAGGAACCACCAGTAATGATATTATCGTGTTCTCTCAATTAACAACTCTTAATCTTTCTAAGTTGGTGAGCCTTAAAAGTTTTTACAACTGGCCCACAAGATTTGAAGCACAACCCTTGTTCAACCACCAGGTTTGATTTTCCTTTTTTATTTTTTTAATCTATGCCATGGGAAAGCATGCCCATAGGAAAAAAAAAATTGCTTTTCCATTACAATTTTAAATTTGAAGCTTATTTTAATAATATCTTTCTATCCAAATCCAAATAAAAGTAAAATAATTGCAAGGTGGATATGCTAGTGGTCTACGATGGAAATTACAATATTAGCCAAACAAAAATATGTATGAATTCTAATACACCATATTTTTATTTTGAATATGAATCGTAATATGATTTTATTTGACTAATATATATATTAGTGAAAAAAAATTGCTTTTCCATTATAATTTTAAATTTGAAGCTTATTTTAATATTATCTTTCTATCCAAATCCAAATAAAAGTAAAATAATTGCGAGGTGGATATGCTAGTGGTCTACGATGGAAATTACAATATTAGCCAAACAAAAATATGTATGAATTCTAATACACCATATTTTTATTTTGAATATGAATCGTAATATGATTTTATTTGACGAAAATATATATATTAGTTTGTCTTTTTTGCCATTTGAACCAAACCCAAACGAGTTTTAATTGAACAGAGTTCGAGCTACTTGGTTTTGTACTGCCCATTTAAGTTTATAGAACTGCGTTCAAACTGAACTCAAAAAATCGGTGAATTTCAAAATGTGTAAATTTTAGGTTATTTAAATAATAAGTCATTCTTGAATTGTTTTTTGTGGGGCCGAATATAAATCGAGTTCAAATAATTTGATTTGCTTTACCATCTTAACTTAAATAGATACGCCAAGAAAATGAATGCTAAATTAAATAAAAAATTATCAATATAAAAAATTATCAAGGCACTGTGGTGAATTTTTAAAATAAAATTTTCTTCTTTTTCATTGGTCTAATACTTAGATCTAAAACATAAGTTGCCTTATCTAAAAAATAACTGAAAAGATTGTGGAACACAAACTATTAAAGGCAAATAGAACAATAATGATGAAAGATGGAAAACAATATGAAAAGTTGATGACAAAAAGGTGCTTAGTTAATAATTAAGCAATATAATAAATATTTCAAAAGAATATGGCGATATGCAATTATAAATTTGCTTGTCTATGGCTTTTCATTTCCGCTCATACATGATTTAAGCATGCATTTGGAAACTGTTGCAATTATCCACAATTTTGTAACAGTCACTAACTACATGTTTTGTAAATTACTTAGCAGGTTGCTTTCCCCGTCTTAGAGGATTTGGAAATTGAGGAATTGCCTGACATAATTGAGATATGGGACAAGCAATTACTTATAGCCTCAGAAGAAGAATCAAAGTCCTTCTACCAACTGAAAGATATGAGGGTTTCTAATTGTGAGAAATTGGTACATGTGGTCCAGTTCAATATGCTCTCACGACTGCAAAATTTGGAAACATTCAACGTAGATCATTGTCCAAAGATGGAAGCGATAGTCTCGCAGAAAGGAAAAGAAGAAGGAACCACCAGTAATGATATCATTGTGTTCTCTCAATTAACAACTCTTAATATTTCTAAGTTAGTGAGACTTAAAAGTTTCTACAACTGGCCTACAAGATCTGAAGCACAACCCTTGTTCAACCACCAGGTCTTATTTTCCTTTTTTATTTTTTTAACCCTTTACATGGGAAAGCATGCGCACAGAAAAAAAAATCCTTTTCCATTACAATTTTAAATTTGAAGCTTATTTTAATAATATCTTTCTATCCAAATCAAAATAAAAGTAAAATAATTGCAAGGTGGATATGCTAGTGGTCTACGATGGAAATTACAATATTAGCCAAACAAAAATATGTATGAATTCTAATACACCATATTTATATTTTGAATATGAATCGTAATATGATTTTATTTGACTAATATATATATATTAGTTTGTCTTCTTTACCATTTGAGCGAAACCCAAATGAGTTTTAATTGAGCAGAGTTCGAGCTACTTGGTATTGTACTGCCCATTTAAGTTTATAGAACTGAGTTCAAACTTAACTTAAAAAATCGGTGAATTTCAAAATGTGTTAAATTTTAACTTATTTAAATAATAAGTCATTCTTGAATTGGTTTTTGTTGAGCCGAATATAAATCGAGTTCAAATAATTTGATTTGCTTTACCATCGTAACTTAAATAGATACGCCAGGAAAATGAATGTTAAATTAAATAAAAAATTATCAAGGCACCGTGGTGAATTTTTAAAATAAAATTTTCTTCTTTTTCATGGGTCTAATACTTATATCTACAGCATAAGTTGCCTTATCTAAAAAATAACTAACAAGATTGTGGAACACAAATTATTAAAGGCAAATAGAAAAATAATTATGAAAGATGGAAAACAATATGAAAAGTTGATGACAAAAAGGTGCTTAGTTAATAATTAAGCAATACAATAAATATTTCAAAAGAATATGGCGATATGCAATTATCAATTTGCTTGTCTATGGCTTTTCATTTCCGCTCATACATGATTAAAGCATGCATTTGGAAACTGTTGCAATTATCAATTGTTGCTTGTCCACAAATTTGTAACAGTCACTAACTACATGTTTTGTAAATTACTTTGCAGGTTGCTTTCCCCGTCTTAGAGGATTTGGAAATTGAGGAATTGCCTGACATAATTGAGATATGGGACAAGCAATTAGTCATCGCCTCAGAAAAAGAATCAAAGTCCTTCTGCCATCTGAAAGATATGAGGGTTTCTAATTGTGAGAAATTGGTACATGTGGTCCAGTTCAATATACTCCCACGACTGCAAAATCTGAAAAAATTCAACGTAGATAATTGTTCAAGGATGGAAGCGATAGTGTCGGAGAAAGAAAAAGAAGAAGGAACCACCAGTAATGATATCATCGTGTTCTCTCAATTAACAACTCTTAATCTCTCTGAGTTGGTGAGCCTTAAAAGTTTCTACAACAGGCCCACAAGATCTGAAGCACAACCCTTGTTCAACCACCAGGTTTGATTTTCCTTTTTTATTTTTTTAACCCTTGCCATGCGAAAGCCTGTGCACAGAAAAAAAAAAAAAAAATCCTTTTCCATTACAATTTTAAATTTCAAGCTTATTTTAATATTCTCTTTCTATCCAAATCCAAATAAAAGTTAAATAATTGCAAGGTGGATATGCTAGTGGTCTACGATGGAAATTACAATATTTGCCAAACAAAAATATGTATGAATTCTAATACACCATATTTTTATTTTGAATATGAATCGTAATATGATTTTATTTGACTAAAATATATGTATTAGTTTGTCTTCTTTACCATTTGAGCCAAACCCAAATGAGTTTTAATTGAACAGAGTTCGAGCTACTTGGCATTGTATTGCCCATTTAAGTTTATAGAACTGAGTTCAAACTGAACTAAAAAAATCGTTTAATTTCAAAATGTGTTAAATTTTAAGTTATTTAAATAATAAGTCATTCTTGAATTGTTTTTTGTTGAGATGAATATAAATCGAGTTCAAATAATTTGATTTGGTTTACCATCTTAACTTAAATAGATACGCCAAGAAAATGAATGTTAAATTAAATAAAAAATTATCAATATAAAAGATTATCAAGGCACTGTGGTGAATTTTTAAAATAAAATTTTCTTCTTTTTCATTGGTCTAATACTCAGATCTATAACATAATTTGCCTTATCTAAAAAATAACTAACAAGATTGTGGAACGCAAATTATTAAAGGCAAATAGAAAAATAATGATGAAAGATGGAAAACAATATGAAAAGTTGATGACAAAAAGGTGCTTAGTTAATAATTAAGCAATACAACAAATATTTCAAAAGAATATGGCGATATGCAATTATCAATTTGCTTGTCTATGGCTTTTCATTTCCGCTCATACATGATTAAAGCAGGCATTTGGAAACTGTTGCAATTATCAATTGTTGCTTATCCACAATTTTGTAACAGTCACTAACTACATGTGTTGTAAATTACTTTGCAGGCCTCTCATACATGATTAAAGCATGCATTTGGAAACTGTTGCAATTGTCAATTGTTGCTTATCCACAATTTTGTAACAGTCACTAACTACATGTGTCGTAAATTACTTTGCAGGTTGCTTTCCCCGTCTTGGAGGATTTGAAAATTAGGGAATTGCCTAACATAGTAGAGATATGGGACAAGCAATTTCTCATAGCCTCGGAAGAAGAATCAAAGTCCTTCTGCCAACTGAAAGATATGAGGGTTTCTAATTGTGAGAAATTGGTACATGTGGTCCAGTTCAATATGCTCTCACGACTGCAAAATCTGGAAACATTCAACGTAGATCATTGTCCAAAGGTGGAAGCGATAGTCTCGCAGAAAGGAAAAGAAGAAGGAACCACCAGTAATGATATCATCGTGTTCTCTCAATTAACAACTCTTAATCTTTCTAAGTTAGTGAGACTTAAAAGTTTCTACAACTGGCCTACAAGATCTGATGCACAACCCTTGTTCAATCACCAGGTTTGATTTTCCCTTTTTATTTTTTTAACCCTTGCCATGGGAAAGCGTGCACACAGGAAAAAAAAATCCTTTTCCATTACAATTTTAAATTTGAAGCTTATTTTAATATTATCTTTCTATCCAAATCCAAATAAAAGTAAAATAATTGCAAGGTGGATATGCTAGTGGCCTGCAATGGAAATTACAATATTAGCCAAACAAAAATATGTATGAATTCTAATACACCATATTTTATTTTGAATATGAATCGTAATATGATTTTATTTGACTAATATATATATTAGTTTGTCTTCTTTACCATTTGAGCCAAACTCAAACGAGTTTTAATTGAGCAGAATTCGAGCTACTTGGTATTGTATTGCCCATTTAAGTTTATAGAATTGAGTTCAAACTGAACTCAAAAAATCGGTGAATTTCAAAATGTGTTATCCAAATAAAAGTAAAATAATTGCAAGGTGGATATGCTAGTGGCCTGCAATGGAAATTACAATATTAGCCAAACAAAAATATGTATGAATTCTAATACACCATATTTATATTTTGAATATGAATCGTAATATGATTTTATTTGACTAATATATATATTAGTTTGTCTTCTCTACCATTTGAGCCAAACTCAAACGAGTTTTAATTGAGCAGAATTCGAGCTACTTGGTATTGTACTGCCCATTTAAGTTTATAGAATTGAGTTCAAACTGAACTCAAAAAATCAGTGAATTTCAAAATGTGTTAAATTTCAACTTATTTAAATAATAAGTCATTCTTGAATTGTTTTTTGTTGAGCCGAATATAAATCGAGTTCAAATAATTTGATTTGCTTTACCATCGTAACTTAAATAGATACGCCAGGAAAATGAATGTTAAATTAAATAAAAAATTATCAATATAATAAATGATCAAGGCACTGTGGTGAATATTTAAAATAAAATTTTCTTCTTTTTCATGGGTCTAATACTTAGATCTACAACATAAGTTACCTTATCTAAAAAATAACTGACAAGATTGTGGAACACAAATTATTAAAGGCAAATAGAAAAAGACGGAAAACAATATGAAAAGTTGATGACAAAAAGGTGCTTAGTTAATAATTAAGCAATACAATAAATATTTCAAAAGAATATGGCAATATGCAATTATCAATTTGCTTGTCTATGGCTTTTCATTTGCACTCATACATGATTAAAGCATGCATTTGGAAACTGTCGCAATTATCAATTGTTGCTTATCCACAATTTTGTAACTGTCACTAACTGCATGTTTTGTAAATTACTTTGCAGGTTGCTTTCCCCGTCTTAGAGGATTTGGGAATTGAAGAATTGCCTAACATAATAGAGATATGGGATAAGCAATTAGTCATAGCCTCAGAAAAAGAATCAAAGTCCTTCTGCCATCTGAAAGATATAAGGGTTTCTAATTGTGAGAAATTGGTACATGTGGTCCAGTTCAATATACTCCCACGACTGCAAAATCTGAAAAACTTCAACGTAGATAATTGTCCAAGGATGGAAGCGATAGTCTCGGAGAAAGAAAAAGAAGAAGGAACCACCAGTAATGATATCATCGCGTTCTCTCAATTAACAACTCTTAATCTTTCTGAGTTGGTGAGCCTTAAAAGTTTCTACAACTGGCTCACAAGATTTGAAGCACAACCCTTGTTCAACCACCAGGTTTGATTTTCCTTTTTTATTTTTTTTAACCCTTGCCATGGGAAAGCGTGCGCACAGAAGAACTTAAAAGTTTCTACAACTGGCCCACAAGATTTGAAGCACAACCCTTGTTCAACCACCAGGTTTGATTTTCCTTTTTTATTTTTTTAATCGTTGCCATGGGAAAGCGTGCGCACAGAAAAAAAAAATCCTTTTCCATTACAATTTTAAATTTGAAGCTTATTTTAATATTCTTTTTCTATCCAAATCCAAATAAAAGTAAAATAATTGCAAGGTGGATATGCTTGGGGCCTATGATGGAAATTACAATATTACCCAAACAAAAATATGTATGAATTCTAAATTTAACCCTTTTATTTGACAAATTATGTCAAAAATTGTAATTTGCTTAACCTTGTTGTGGAGTTCATTAAAAAAATATTTAAATGTTGGATATCATATTTTGTTTTTTTGGTTTTGACTGATATGATTTTATTC